GTTCTTATTAGTAGTAGATGCCTGGGGAGACTCAAGTTATTTTTAGGCGCTTGGCTTATCGACTTTACCGGGCCGTGCAGGGCTGCATATTTTGAGACTATTTGAGCGGAATTAGACGTGACAATCCTAATTTCCCGGGTCCGCAATGTACCAATGTCGTGTATTCTCTGAAAATTATAATTTTAATTCCACATAAACCTGAAATTAATTACGAGACATAATATGTCATCTTCCGTTTGTTTCTATAGATAATGCATATTATTTTGTCATAATTACACTCCTCGTAACAAAATTATGACGTCGAATTCCAAAACAATGAGTATTGATAATATAATATTCAAGTTCAATACACATTTGGCCGAACGTGTAAAAGTGATAATTCTTGTTTTAAATATGCGCATTATGCATGGCCTCACATTACCTCGGCAAAACGACTCAAATGAGATGCCTCAATACATATATTATATTTTTATCGTCAATACAATACCCAGCTCTACAATATTTAAGTACAAGATTTAATTTTGAAATAGACAGTTTGTATTGTGTCCAAATATGACTAATAATAGTGCGTAACAAAAAGAAACGATTTAAACGTCACAATTATATATATTATATCATCTTTTTATCGTCAATATACACACAACGCCGGAGATTTTGCATTATCTCCTTTTCAATTTGAGTGTTTGACAATAGGCAGTTAGGTAGTGGGGTCTATTAGGTTTTATATTGCTTTCGACTACTCAATGTAATTTATGTATCATTTTGTATTACTTATAACTCTTTAAGTTATTTTTATCGTCAGTGTGTATACATATAACTGGACAAATTGCAACAGGATATTTTTAAATGGGCGGTTTGGCAGTAACATCGGTGTATCTGTATCCATTAGTTTTAGGCTGCCTTCAGCGTCTCAGGTTATTTGCAGCAGCAGCCATTTAGAATTAATTTTTCATCATCAGTATAAATACTATGCAATTTTAATTTGCAATCTCTCATTTTCAAATAGACGGCATGACACTACGCGTTTGTTTATGCATTTGTGTTAGTTTTTATGATGCACTCAACTGTTGTTTGTTTTGTCACCGAGCCAATTATAATAATTATTATTTCATCGTCGGTGTATGCACAATGCCAGACAATCTAAATTTGCATCTGTAAGTAATTTTTAAATGGACGGTTTGGCAACACGCGGTGGTGTTATGTAATGTATTAGGTTTCATGTTTTTCAATTACCCAAGTTTTTTGCAGCAAATCATTAAGAATTAATTATCCAAAAACATGCAATCAGCACACATTTAATTATAAAGGATATCCTAAAGTCGATCAGTAGTTCAGATAAATAGGCAGTTTGACAATAATAAGTTTTATATAAGACAATGATCTATTATACGTTTTGCATAAGTCATCAATCAAAAGCAAGACGTTGTTTCAAAGACACTTTTTTGCTTTGTTCATAGTTAGTTCTTGTATGTTGGTATGAGGGTGTATTGGTATGCATAAACGCTGCTCAATCTTTACGGGCGAGCAAGAATACTAAGTGTTTTTTCAGGCTATTAGAAGGCCAAATTATGCACTTAGTCGGGACATGACGATCTCTTCTGTTGCGGCCTGATAGGCTGATTTGTAGGAAGTTCATATTTCATGAGCGATTTTACAAGGCGCACATTGCCAGTGAAGTGTGGTGAATATGTTCAAATTATTTTTTATCTGGACGAAAATTGGGAGGATGTGTTGTGAGTAAGAATACATCGTCTTCAATCGTCATTTGAATGGCCCAGATAAATACTAACGTGCTACGCGCATTCAAGAACACAAAACGATTTTTAATATATTAGAACAGTTACAATAAGAAGTACTCAGGATAAATGCGTTGTGGTCATAGTATGTTTCATTCATTTTCAATTTGGGTGTATTTAAATCTAGTCTAAGGGGGCAATGTACGTTAGAGGCATCTAGGAAAAGTTTAGACATAAATTTTGCTTTAGTATTCTTCCTATTCATCCGAGACACGCGGTGATATTTCTTGTTCAATAGGTTCATTTCTTTATTACTTTTAGCGAATCTTTAATTCGACTCATCCCTCACATAACCACAGACTTGTCAGAAGGCTTTTGCGGTTATGAATTGTCAGTTTAATGTGTTTTTCGTGCTGTGATTAATTCCAATCTCACACTTCAATAAGCAAATGATTTACCTCTTTTGAAAGAGATTTTCAGAAATTTGGGCAGGAATGCCATTGCCAATGCCAAAAATGTTTTAAAACCCTCTTGTAATGTAAGCGTAATCTAATAGAAAGTCATTTAAATCCCGCGCCTGTTCTTAATTCCCGAGTGATTTGTATTAACGCGTGGTTGGAAATGTTATTATCATGCTTCCTTTAATCGTGACGTCATAAACCATACATTATGACTTGTTGAACGTCGTCTCTTGGGGGTTTTGGCTAATGTGAGGTAAAATGCGGTAGAGCAGTGGTTCCAACCTTTTGTGTGTATTGGAACTCATTATTTCTTTCGCCATATGTCTATAAACTACTTTATTTGTTCATTCTTTGATGGATTCTTGGCTAGTGTTATGCGCAAGTTGCATTCGTACAGTTTATGTAGTTTATAATGGGTGCATAAATAGGGGCCGGAAGTATGTGTACCAATACAAAGATAACTAATTTTGTTTGCCTACATTACACCAAGTTGTGTAAAAGAACTGAAACCCATGAGCAGGGGGTATATTCACTTGGCTAACACAGTCCTTGAACTCGTAATAGAACTAGAATAAGGAAAATATGAACAAAATTATGGCCTAACCCTAACCTGGTACACACACTACGGAAGTACCTAAATAAGTATATAAAATATTAGTGATACCTCAGCGAATGCTGAGTAAAATTCCTTCATGGTGAGGAATTTTTCCATGATTGGGAAACGTTGCTAAAAATTCGAAATTTTTCACAAAATGTAGAAAAAAACTGAATACAGCCGGTTTTATTCTTGCTATTCCCAAAATTGTTGGATTCGATCACACAGAGAAAAAAGTAGTTAGTTTATAAGTGATTTTGTAATAAAGCAAATCGATTTAATCTTGCGAAATTCTTTCAGCGGCGTTCTAGGTTAAGCGCCAAATCCATTCACTGACGGAAATAACCTCGACATTGTTTCTATGCTATATTCTAAGTATTTCTTCATAAACTCTGACCGAATGCCGGCAGCTTACCATAGAAATGTCAAATTAAAATGTACGTGCATTTGAACAATGTTTCGATGTCGAAAGGAAAAATCTAGATTTAAAAAAAATTCACCCCTTTGCTAGTGCTTATTCTAATTAGGCGCACAGTCTATTATCAAGAAACTTATGAATAAAGAAAACCCTGAATTCAAACGCATGGCCAGATAACTCACAAATATAAAATTTTAGAATATATCCTTGGATATGTTTGTATAAGATTAAGATTTTATAAAACAATTCAACCCAGAAGCCCCCGTGTTTGTATAATTCATGAATCTGGAAATTAGACGAACCGGCTCTATGTTTTAGTTGAAATTTAAGCGATTGTTTGACATATCTTGACATTATCAAAACATTCAGAAACCATGCGCTCGCCGCAAGTGTTGTTTGGATTGAATGCATTTCAAGAGGTACTTTACGTTTTTGCTCCAAAAAAGTTTTGTTAAAATGAATTTAAATTTAAAAATGAAACGCTGCCGGAAGTTCAAAATTAGACTTGTTCACACCAAATTAGAGAGGCATTCGTGGTATTTGTTTATGGCAGGCGATAAGGCGTCTGAGAAAACGCGATTTTGCCTAGAATTTGACGAAAACATTTTTATCATGCAACTATTATTCTGACATCTTCTACGTAATGTGAGAAAAACATGAGAAAAAATATTAACAGTGGGGTTGGTACGCTAATTCCTTCAATTCACAACATGCCACTGATTAGAAATAAAAGTATATTTGCAAATTACAGAATGTTTTTTATGTGTATGTTATGTATGTGTGTTGTGGAAAGTTGCACAGGGCAGCAGAGCAGTTTAAGAACAATATCGTTTTAAATTTGTAGCATTTTGCATTTCAAGACTTGACATTGTCCCATCGCACCGCCATTTTTTTTTATCTTGGGTTGCGATAAGTTATAGGTTAGCAAGAGCAGTAAACTAATGAAGATAAACAGATTCCAAGAAAAACAGATAGGATCAAAGAATAGGGGTTAATTTCAGGACACAAGATCGTAGCCAGGGGAAGGGGGCTTGGGTCAGAGGGTCGGAACCACCCTTTTGTAATGCAAATTAATTATTTTTTCTTTTTTTCTGTCTCATATATAGCAATGTTTCGTAGGTTGATTCGCTGGGTCTCGTGTAGTTTCGTACTAAACGTACTTCTAGTGGGCGTAGCATAACAATTTTTTGATATGTCATTCCTAACCCCCATCTGACTACGCGATCCAAAATTACGTAACTACGACATCACAATCACGTCATAGAGCTTGCCAAATATACGTACAATCGCCCGGAATGGCATTGGCGCCGACGATAAAGAACTGACTGACATTATCGATCTCTCTCCTATTGGAATCATTGCGACGAGAAACGAGAGAAATAACTGTTCGATTTAGGGTGCTCGTTAGCGCGTCTTGGATGGCAGTTCGTATAGTTTGAAGGGCTCTATTACGTCACTGTGACGTCGTGTTGACGTAATATTTGGATGGTGTAGTCAGGTGGGGGTTAGGATTGATACGTGAAAAAATTGTCATGCCACGCCCTCTAGAAGTATGTTAACTATATGAGACCCGAAACGCTTTTCAGACCCTCAGGACTCCTGAAAACACACGTTTTCGGACTCCTGCCAGACCCGCTAGCTGTTACGGTGTAACTTTCAGAATCCCCCTCTTTGAAGAAAAAATTGAAAATTTTGAAAATTTCCGACTACGGCTATCAGGATATCATCAAATCCTCTTTCTATTTTACTTTAAATGTTGCATTTTTATCGACAAAACCACTTTACTTTACAAGATATATTGTTGTTTATGTTTAAAATACTTTAGCGTCTGCTGTGTATTGCTGGAATTATCAGGATGCGGTTGCAAGTCATTATTCAATTACTGATGTGTATAACAATCTTCGGCATCTGTTTTGGACAAGGTAAGACGTTTGTTCTTTATTAACAAAATTAAAAAAAATCATTTTGATTATATCTAAAAATCTCACGGGTATTATTACGTCATTGCATCATAACTAATTTAGCTAAATTTTTTTTTTGATTCTTCATATTAGTGGTTTCTAGACCGAGGCCCGCGGGCCAATTACGGTCAGCGTAACGATTTGACATGGCCCTCCGAACATAAGTGAAATAGTTTACCACTTTTTTGCGTACTAGATACCTCGAATTTTTACATCATTATCACAGTTTAAACACGTGTATATTTGTAGCAATTCAATTGTACCGGTATCTTGATTATACGTACCGGCGCCGATATGGCCCCTGGCGTGCGCTTCCACTTTTGGCCCGCGAATAGCTTTACGCTTCTAATTTTGGCACTTTTCCATCAACGTTGAGAACCATTGGTTAGGTTAAGATAAGTTGAACAACGACTTAACTTGTGATAATCTAACCTATGACAAACATAAAGAGAACGGACCATAAACTAATTATTTATGGTGCAATACCGGAATAGACTAGAATTATTGTACATTTCCGAAATTTATCTTTAAGCTTGTTGTTGTATTCCATAACATAGAACACATTTTGTATTTTTAAAGCCAGGTTATAGTTGCATACATAACAAATTGTTTTTGACCAACGGCAGTGGTGTATCTATGCAAAATAGCACCCATGGCAAATTTATAAAATGCGCCTCTTGATTATTGAATGACAATTTTTAACGAATGTTGTTGAATTGATATACCTGTACGTTACTATTTAAAAAAAAAATACAAGTTTTAGTTAATTTCATGTTAAAATCATTTTATTGAAACATTTCACAATTGAAAATGTTCGCTCTTTTGCGCCCCCATCCAAGAGCTATTACTGCCATACCCCAGATACGCCACTGACTGAGGTTAGAGCTGATTAACACCGATACTAAACCAGATATAATAGATAGATCTTGCCATTTGGTTCTATCATTATGTGACATTTATAGCAGCAAGCAATGAAGAAATGACGAATAAGGGTATATTTGGGAATGCTAATACTGCTACTTGAATTATTTATTCCCATGTTTGAGATCAAACAACACTTCCTAAAGATTTAATTTACGAAGTCCTGGCTTCGTTTTATATAAAATCCATCCTTGTATTTTTGATCAATTCTTAGAAATTGCTTGCGACGACCGGGAGACAAGAATTTACAAATGCAATAACGGAAAGTGTATTTCGAGGAATCATTTTTGTAACGGAACAAGCGAGTGCTCGTGAGTAATTTTTTGAATACCATGTTCAAACAAGTGTTCGAAGCTTAAATATATGGACACGAAACCCAAAACGAATTATTACGGGAACGCAATCTGTAACATTAGATTACCGGTACCACCATCCTCACGACCTCACAACCCAGAACCACCACCCGATGCGCAATTTTTGATAACGGCATGACAGTGCACCCAAAACATAAATACCATAGAGCCCACAGAAATTTTTGGAATAAATAAAAGTAATAGCCTTCTATCGAAAAATACACTCGTCAACCACTGAAAAGCAATTGGTCCAGTAATCAAAAGGAAAAGCGGTTTTTTCATAACGATAAAACGAAAATACCAACAACAAAAATAAGAACAACAACAACAACACAATAACAAAACAATCCATATGTGTTATCTGTGTTCAAAGGGGCCTACGATATTTTAGTTCGGAAAGTATGTATGCGGGTAATTTGCAGCCCGTGCAACGTTTTAACAGATTAAATCTTTCACTGAAGTTTATAATTTACCCCTCCATCAAAATACACTAAAAATCACTGGAAACTGCATCGGTACAACACGTGGCATTATTGGATAGGATAGTATTTTCGAATATTTGGCTTGGAAGAAGTGAAAATTCCGCTTAGTGACCGAAAAAATGTTTTAAAAAGATACTTCTGAAGTGTTTTTTATTTAAGTTAATGCACGCCTTTTATCTCAGAAATGCTCGTGTACATATAGACATTGATTTTTATGAAGCTACTATTTTGAAAGTACCGGAAGCTTTACAGTTCAACTTCAGGCTTGCCATTCAATTTATTACACCTGGGTTAAGGTGGTAGGCATGGCATTTCAACTCGTATTTATTTTTGTCTACTGTGTACTTTTGGTACGTGATAAAATAAACTACTGACTGACTGACTGACCGATAACTTTACCTGCAACACAAGTTAACCCAACTCTCCATCCAAGAATAAAGAACGTCCATTTCATAAAGTTTGCTCGAGAGATTATTTACTGATATATTCTAATTCCAGGGATGGCAGCGATGAATATACAAACACAACTCTAATGGACGGGATGATGTGTCAGACAAGGAGATTTACACCGGTGGAAAAACATTGTGTTCTACCGACAGCATATCTGTGTGACCATGAAATTGATTGCGTCGGAGGTGAGCTCTTTGTAACTATCTATGATTTTAAGATCATTTTTCTTTTTTTATACAAGACGGTTATTTCCGCATTTCGCTCCGAACAAGGCACTGTACAAGCAGTTATCTAAAGATATTTAAAAAGCTGCTGCTTTGCACTGCCCACCCGGAACCTGGATTATCAGTATTTAAACATGAGAGAAGCTACCAGGAGGCTATTACTTTTGCTCATGCTTTTCAAGTCTCCCCCAAGTCCAACTTGACCAGGTATTTCACCAAAATTTTGCTGTTTTATTTTGATAAACTTTTTATTTCTTTTCGTTTTCGCCGATCGTTTCAGCTAACTTGGCGGTGCTTTGCTTACTGTAACTTTGTAACCATATATTAGAGCATTGCTTTCATGTTTTTTACAAATATTTTTTATTGAAATATTTCCAGGCCACGACGAATGTGGATGCAACCATACGTTCCAGTGCGACAACGGAGACTGCGTGTTGAAAGTTTCCTTCTGCGATAACATGGAACCAGAATTTGGTTGCCTAGATGGAACTGATGAAAGGCTATTCAACAGGTCAGTGTTTCTTGGTTAAAAACAAAATGGAAACTCGCATTTGTTACCTGTGAATATTCTCGGTGGCGCAACGACATACTAAAGATTGAAAAGTCTTCCCTGAGTCAGTGTTTCTTGTTAAAAACGAAACGAAGACCCGCATTTGTTACCTTTGAATTTTCACGGTAGCACAACGAAAGCATTCAGGTTTGGTAAACTACAAGATAAAAGAAAAATGGGTCCCGGTTTCGCTAAAGATTATGTAAAAAAGAAGAACAATCAACGAGGAGGCCCTGGGGGAGAAATCAAAAATAGGCTTCATCGCGACATATACGATGGGTATCGGAGAGCTCGAATGCCATAGCATCGGATGACGTATAATAACTAGCTTATTATAAAAAAAAAAAATACTTGATAAAGTGATTACATTTAATTCCTTTTATTACCTTAAGTGCGGGGGTTGACAAGGTTTTTGGACCAGGGCAGAAAATTTTGCTCACCTGGACTAGCGGGCCATGTAAGTGTGACGAAAAAGTTACATTTTATGAACAATATTTATAGTGTCACAAAAGCAAGTGTGGGAAACACTAAGCCTCGTGCCAAAACTAAATGTAATAGCAATCTTAACAAATTCCTTAAGTTTTTTTTTCAGCTAAAGCCTCAAAATTTGGTTTTAGTTTGGTTGTGACAGTATCAGGCGGGGCAAATTGAATTAGCCAACGGGCCGGATTTGGTTCGCGGCTATAGTTTGCCGATGTCAGCTCTAGTGTATAGAATTGGGTAAAAAATGCGCAGTAGCAACTTCCCCAATATTTTATCACAACGGCGTGAATTGTTTTTCTTTGGTCTCATTGGCCTGGCAGGAAAATCATCTAAGTTGTGACGTATCCCACTTTCTACGAACCAATATACTGAAAATTTTCTACCAATATTAACAACATTAACTAAACTAACTTATTTTCTCGCTGATTCTTATTCAATTCATTCTTATTCAAAAAACGCATAATAATAAATTTTTTTTAGAACTACTAGAGAAGGATTCCAATGTCCCGTAACTCGAACACATCTACGTAAAACCTGTGTTTTACCGGACCAATATATCTGCGACGGAGACTCCGACTGTGATTTTGGAATCGACGAATGCTTCTGTAATTTTACTGGAGGCAAAAAGAAAGGAATTCCATTGAATGATGGTAAGAGGTTTTTCTTTGATTACTCGGAACAAAACGCACTTTACATCAGTGTTTATATATACGCCGTATTTATGCGCTTTTGGCGGGAGCTTAGTCAAGAGGGGAGGTCAGGAACCCTCTTAAAAGGTGAAAAAAATGATTTTTCTATATCATACATAGCAATTTTTTGTAACTTGAAACGCTTTTCACACCTTTGAGCCTCTTGAAAGCCCACGTTTGCCGGACCCGCTAGCTGGCACTGTCTAACTAGTAATTTCACAATCGCTTCCCCTTTTGAAATTCCTGGCTACACCCCTGGTCTTTAGCTCTGAACAAGATTTTTCACAAGCAGTCACTGCCAAGAAATGTGTTTCTATAGTTTTGGGCGATCAGTATTGCCTATCCAATTCATCATGAATGCATGAAAAATAGCTATATAGCAGTTTATTATTGTGCGGGCTCTTGTCAGTAATGAATTGGATACTCCGGTAGTATGTGTACCAGGTTAGGGTTAGTCCATGATTTTATTCCGATTTTCCTTATTTTAGTTTTAGTACGAGTTCGGGGACTGTCTGTGTTAGCCAAGTGAATCCCCCTGCCCATAGGCTTCAGTCCTTTTACACAACTTGAACAAAATTAGTTACCTCCGTATTGGTACACATACTTTTGGAGTGCCATGAATTGTATGAAAAAATGTGCTACACGGCTTGAGGCGTTCAAAATACATTGAAAATTTTATTTTTTTAGTTTATTCGAACGAAAACTGCTTTCGTTGCCTGGATGGATCGCTGGTGATTCCTAACATTCACGTTTGTGACGGCATAATACATTGTGAAGATCTTTCTGACGAATGTATTTGTCCCGAAACAATAGAAAAACCGAGACCAGCAATATGCGACAGTGTTTGTGAAGGTAGAAGTAAAATTTTTTTTGGAAGAAATTTGCTAAATTCAAAGTTACGAGCACTCAAGATAGGCATTAACTATTGCGGGCCCTAATGCGACATTGATTGCGCGGGGCAAGGGCAAGGATAATAATTGAAACATAAAATTTTTTAATATGAAATGGCCGACTTGATATTTTTATACAATATATTTGCTTTTTAATTCAAAACCGTTATTCTTTCTATAACGGGATTTGTACGTACCCATTCAGGATAAGCATTAGGAAAGGATAGCAGGCATTTTCCAACGCTTAGCTTGATGTGCGGGCCACCGAGTCGACTGCATACCTCGAATCGGAGCCAGACAATAAGAAATATACCCTTACTTATAAACTTCATATTTTTGGTCTAGGTCCGAAATGTGGATGTCCGGGGCAAGTTGAATGCATTCCTAAAGTGTTTTCAACCAGCAATGGGACGTCACAAATACAAGAAGAAAAAGTGTGCATTGACCATACTTCTATATGCGATGACGTGTAAGTACGTTTTTATAACAGTGGTTCTCAGACGTTGGGGCGCGCACGACAAAGGTGCCTAAGACAATTTTTTGAGGGGGGTGGAGCTAATCAAAAATAAAACTACTTGTTAGATTTGATATTGCCCGCCTTATTTTGGATATGTACATTTCTTTATTGTTTAGAGATTCCATCCACGTATTCTCAACGTGTTTTTTGAAGAAAACATACTTTCGCCTTACTATCTGTTATCTGTGGCTTCTTGTTAACTAGTTATTTTTGAGGTGGGACGCTAGACTTGACCAATTCTAAAAAAGGGGACGCGGCACAAAAAGTTTGAGAACCGCAGTTTTATATGACATTGTATGCGCCTTTCACTCTAAACAAAGCCAAGTACAGCAGGCACTTCTTTGTTGGATGTTACCATTTTAGAAAGAATATAGTCTGTCTTTCTGGTTCGGCATTGGCTACCCAATTTATTACACCCTCGGTGATGCCAATATAGTCACGTCCGGCGTTTCAGCAACTCGGTCAAATTTTCATAAAAGATAGCAAAGATTTAAAACAGAATAAGTAAGCCTAACTAACGTTCAAACTAAACAATCAAATGTATTTTAGTAAATGCTCGCTTTTTAGTAGTCATTGGTTTTGTTTTCATGGGATCTGTGCAGGCCCAAGAGCCCAAGATTTTACAAAACTTCAAACTTATTTTCATTTTTTTTTAAATAAATTTAATTTGCTGTTGTATTCCCGCCTATTCACAGAATTATATTATTCCGGCGCTGTTCATAGAATGTATCCTTTTATCGCTATGTTACCATTTAATTAGCAACCGACGGAATGTTTAAATAGAAATTTGCAAAAATAAATCAATTTGGGCGAACATTTTTCGATTTTTTTAGAATATTTGCTTATTTTTATTCAAATCAAAATTAAAATGTATATACTTACAATATTGCGCAGTGAAGAATTCTAATGCCCATTGCTATTGTAGCATCATAATCAAAATATTGAAATGCATTATGCCGGCATAATGAATACTATTATAATAGTAATAAATTTGATAATGACATAATAATAAGCAGCTGCTTCTTCGGTTATTACTCCAAAGCCACATTAAGTTATTTTAAAACTTCTAATGAAGAATTGATGAGATTTTAATACAGAACAAAATATTTTAATATAAACTCTTCAGCTGTTTGAATGGTCATCATAATAAATATACTGAATAATTTTCCTGGCACTAATTGCATTATTACCGCACGTTTTCGACAACTCGAGTTTTAAGTGGTCATTTTGGAGGACATCGCTGCAATTTTGCTGTACTGTTCGTATAACATATATTTTATATTATGATGTACATAACACATAATATAACGTCCTCAAAGTCTTGAAATATTTTGAAATTGCAAAGGGAATTTATCGATACCATGTATTGTTTTGGCCCCTACATATTTATTAAATGAAGCAAAAGTACGTAAACAATTACTGATTCAAAAACAACAAACCTGGTTAGAATTTATATTGGGGACGGACATCATAACAAAATTGAAATTGTAAAAGAACTTTATGGACACCATGTAATACACACTATTCACATCATATATTGTAATGAACAGAATATTAGGTTCCTTACAGTTTTGTCATATGTATATATGAAATATATGTGGAAAATGTTAGATGTAACTCTTTTCGTCAAGTAGTCACTGATATATGAAATGACACTATTTTTAAATTTATCGAAACAATTTATCACACCATGGGGAATATGGTGAAAAGTAGAAAGAAACTTCTGAAACAAATCCTTTAAGCTTCTGTTGATGTTGGTGTAGTTTAGTGCTTTACTTTACAGCACTTTATCAGGAACTTTTTATGGCACTCGATTAAGGGTACGAAAACACACATATGAATTACGTTTAGGATGATGCGGCAAATTATTTTACGGTTCCAAAGAGTTTGAAGGGAATTCCACTCTGATAGTGCTATATTTTTATATCAGCTTTAACCATATTAAAAGCACTTCTACACTGCCCCATTGTTATTCCAGATTTCTAGGTTTTTATTTGTAGTCTGAAAGATTTTGTATTCTCAACGGCATTGTAGGCGAGAAACTAAGAAAATGCAAAGTGGCATCTAGTTCTCGTACAACCCCTAAAACAGTCTGCAGATGCACTTCTTAAGAGACAAGACGTTGCGAGAAATGAACATCAATTGGATTGTTATGTCATAAACTATGTCAGAGCCAATAGCTAAATAACAGCACACAACGGTGCAGACATGCGTCCAAGATTAGGGGTTTTGAATATTATCATATCGAAAATTAACAATTTGAATATAAGCGATCGCAGCCCTGACTGCCCAACTGACGGTACATTATAATAGTTTAGGTATTGTTAGATTAATTTAAGGCCGATTTTAATATTTTTTATCACTGATATGTTAGCATTTTTCTTATTTTATTCGTGCCTTGGCGGGTCACGAATAAAACGAGGTGGGTCACTTTGTGACCCGCGGGTCAGTGGTTCGCCATCACTGCAATAGATCTTAGTCAAGTACAATGCACCAATCAATCGGTCACCTCAAAGTTTTTATACCTAATACCGATTATCCCGTACGCTATGCTTGCATTACAACAGCCTTGAATATCCGAAGACTCTTTTTTTCGATTCCCAGGTTCGAATGCGAAAACCACGTTGACGAAACATTCTGCCCGATTGATAATAATACGTTCTTGTGTTATGATGGAAATAAGAAAATAAAACAACATCAACTCTGTAATGGTGAGTAAGCAAAGTGAAAGTGTAATAGAGAATATTAATGTGAGACGTACTAGTTTAGGTCTCAATGAAAATGTCGCGAAATCGCATTTAAAAAAATGTGCTGAAAATTTTTGGGAACGGCATGGGCCCCAGAAACCCCCATCCCTCTGTCTGTGCCCATGGCTGCATATGACTTCGATTCCACCACTCATACTTTTAAAATTCCAATATGACATTTGTATAAATCTCATGCGACAAAAACATTGTTCACTTTGATGTTTCCTAAATGCTTACATCCTCATCTGTTCAAAGTTCCATGTTTCAGACTGGACAAAAAATATTAATTCAAATTGGAACTGGGTCAACGTTTCGATACACTAGTCTAATTGCTGTATAGGACTCTGATTCCTCAGCCAACACATATGTATACTATACAGTATGAATGTCCATGTACCACGCGCAACAAAACAGTGTTCACTTTGTTACTTTAGGCCCAAAAGACTGTGACGACGGATCAGATGAATTACATTGTCACCAAATAAACGATTATTTCTGCAAATCGTATCGAAGATTCTTCCGTGATGTCCGAGGTATGCTTTCTCTTTGAAACATTTGGTTTAGTCCTGTATAGCAGGGCTACTCTACTATTTTTACCGAAGATCCGCAGACAAAACTTCAGAAATATTTGGGTCCCGCCTCTCCATAAATTATATTTCGGCATCATGAAACACACACTTCCTCGGCCAAACAATGATTCCTTGCTAATCAAGATTGTTTATTATGGCGCTATAGTTTTTTTTTAATTTTTTATAGATATTTAAATCTATAAAGTGATTTTATAAAAAGAATCATCAAAAGTGGGGCTTATGATTCAAAATGAAGAATCAATCGCGGTCCGAAACGAATACCCGAAACGTCCGGATTCGGACCGCGGTCCTCCAGTTGAGTAGCCCTGCTGTATAGGATCACCTCAAAGAAGCGCTAATAAATTTTCCGATTACTTCTATAAAATAGAAAATTACTTAACATTAGAACCCCTGTTTGTATCCAATGTTTCAGAAATCTAGGACGCTTTTCACAAAATTATTTTCTCTTTCTTGTAGTTAGTCGAAATGGCTACAAATCAGGTTTCAAAAAAAGTCTTAAGTCAAAGTAAATATGGAAATTTAAGTGCCAAGTCAAGTCAGATCGCTGCTTATCGAGTCTCGAGTCAATAAGAAACTTTGTTAACAACAAAAGCAAGGGTTCATTATGAGCGAGACGATTCTAAGATTTCTACTCTGCTTTAAAGCAACATTATTCTGAGAGTAAAGCCAAGATATTGGCAATATTTACTTTGGTATCAACACAGCCTATTATTAGTTATTACTGATTGTTCCAATACAGCATTGATATACATGGTAATGGTATATTAGTGTTTCACTGAAATTTTGTCGCTCTGTCATAGACTAACCAAAAATTTCTCCGAGTGTAAAGTAGGTGAATGAAGTCTTTTTGCGGGTTAGACGAGTCAAGTATTTCCGGGTGTCTCGCATCTCCGCGACATACTACTTCATTATGAAAAATAACTTTAAATGTTGCTCAGCACCATTCAATCATCAGGTATTTAATCAGCCAGAATGAACAAATGAATTTTACCCAAATGACTAAAAACTTAACTAATTCAAGATTCGAAAATTTAAAGTTTAAGTTTGATAATTGAATTAATCCCACTTCGCATTCAAGACCAATTACTACACGTTTTTTGATTTCTACAGATTGGGACAACGCTACCGTTACGGAGCAAGAAGTGTTCATTCCACCGAACGTTGGTAAGTTGAAGTTAACATATATTTAACGTTTTAGTTTGAATTTTAAAGGCTAATTCGTCAACGAAAGACATGAAGGTTTAAATTGGATATTCGATCCTCCCATCCGGATAATGCAAGATTGTCCTTGAGCTGGGGCGCCTTGTATACAAAATTTCTAAGAGCAATTTTTAGAACTCAATTAATAGCGGTACGAACACGGACAGAATGGTCTCAAACGGCTAAAATCTGTTTAAAGGTTTACTTCTGCGGTCACTTTGGTATGCGATCTCGTTTGTTTAACATAATCCCATGAACACAAAAATAAGCCCTATTGATATTTTTCGAAGAAAAATTGAAATAAAACCCAGTATTTTTTCCGAAAAACATGGCAACGTCACTGATATCACACGACCGCTGAGATCGATTACCAAAGTAGAACCGTTTATTTCTAACCTTATCATTTATTCTCTTTAGTTCTCGCGTTTGATAGGCCGTTCTTCACCCATGCATGTGATGGGATCCCTCTTTGCCAGGGACTTGATGACGAATGCAACAACGGTTGTCCGGTTGAGCACGAATACTGCAAACATGTTACAAGAGGTTTCAGGTAGCGTCATCATTTTCCCCTTCATAGAAATTATAAAACCTTTTCTCTAAGAAATACAATATAGCGATTCCATATCCCCTTTTCTCGTCTAAACTTGGTTTTACTACTCAACTTTGAACAAGGCTCCGGACAAGCGAATACTCATACATATACAGCTGTTACTTGGAGGTTCCCAAGCATTCGCGTTCTTTATTTGTACACTTTGGATGAGATGATATACATGAAGTTAAACTACCAAGATAGTTACAGCCTAAAAAATCTAAAAGCCTTTAGTGGAGTGTCACCGGTTAAGAGGCCGATCGCTTATAGTATTGAGCAAACTTAAAAATATGATTGAAACAAATATTTTTAAACTAGTGTTCACGCACCTTATGTTTTTTGTTTTAAGATAAAGAGGTAATTCATTCGTGTATGTTATTTTGTTATCGATCAAGTGATCATACGATTCTGGTCGATCTCTGTTGAGGATTTGCGGTTCACCCCTTTTTGCAAAATTATTGCTTTCGTGTTTTGAGCCTTGGAGTCTCTTATACACTATATTTGTAACCTGACAGAAGGGTACACGTGTCCTGAATACCTGTATTGAAAATTAAGTACTCCCATAGTAAGAGTACCGGGTTAGGGTTACGCCGATTTTTCTTATTTCAGTTCAATTAAGATTTCGAAGACTGTCTGTGTTAGCCAAGTGAATATACCCCCTGCTCATAGGCTTCCGTTCCTCTACACAACTTGGTGTAAATTAGGCGAACAAAATTATTTACTTCCATATTGGTATACATACTTCTGGAGCGCCGAAAATTGCATGTTTGCCGTCTTACTATTATCTCAAAAATTATTTTTGTAGATGCCCCAACTCAGGATCTCTTATAATCGGAGTTGAAATTTGCGATGGAAAGCCAACGTGCAACGATATCGCCCCTGAAGTATCCGTTGATGAGTTCGGATGTCCAGGAAGGTAGGTGCCACCAATGTATTTACATTAGGACGATCTCGCGACAAACGAAAAGAGCGCCCGTTTTAAGTAATAACATCATGTTTTGTTTGTTTATTTTAAATATTCATATGTGGGGTTTGGAGTTTTTGTGTCATTTTATTCGATTTTGTTACCGCATTTTCTGTGTGAAATTCTGTTATATTTTGTTTTCATTCCTGTATGTCACTATTTTAATTAAACCAGAGTTTCTTTCCTTTCTTCGATAAAGTTTATTCGTAATTTGACTCGGAAAGACCTTACGTAAAGGGCGCCTTTATTCTCCCATCGATCATCTATCCGCGTGAAGTGCTTTAAGCTTTAGCTCCGTGTATTTGCCGACTTGACCACGCATTCTCTGTTCAGGTTCTACTGCCACAACCGCGGAAAAACCAGGCTTCCGATCCATATCCCTATAGATGGAAAATGCAACGGCAAACAGGTACTAAAATACGTTAACTTACGATAGGGTAATACCAATAGAGCAGTGGTTCTCTAACGGTGGCGCGCGCCCCACAGGGGGTCATAGACAATTCTTCGAGGAAACCCGAAGCTAATTGAATATCAAAATAATGTTAGCTCTGATCTTGGCCGCCCCATATCGGATATATATTTACATTTCTTTATTAGTTACACGTATTTGAAACGTGTTTTTTGAATAAAACATACTTTCGCCTTACTATCTGGTATTTGTAGCTTATTGTTAGCTAGTTATTTTTGAGGTGGGACGCTAGACTTGACACTTTCTTAAAAGTGGTCGCGGCCTGAAAAGTTTGAGATCACTGCACTGGATATTTTACAGAGCATCGACCTCCTTGTTGCTTAGAGTTGAATAATCAGAAAAATATCAATTGTAACGTATAAACTGATTCTAATGCAGCCGATGAAACATTTTTTAATAAATATACAAAGAAGGTCAATTATCGCACCGCACTATCGGACCGTTTGGGTATCTAGCTTGCGGAATACCGCTGGAAGAGTTCAGAGTGTTACACAGCGACACAGTAATCTTGGAAAAACTGGTGTGAACTATCCCTTTTTCCATATGCTCTTGGCACTTCACAACTTTGCTCCATTAAATTCTGACTGAGTGCGCGTGACCTTGCTTTTGGGAAATTTTCCTAAAAAATGTTTATTTTTATCAAGAACTATATTTTTCACTTAAAATAGTCTGATCATTCATACTTATTAGGAACCCTAACATGCCACAACTAGGCATATAATTTTTTTTGGATGTCTCAAAAATGTCGGGTTATACTTGTAGCATACTTGGGACAACTATGAGGCAAAAGGTGTGTTCGACACAACATCTTTGAAGTGTCGTTTTATTACTATCATAAATGTTGAACAATATATAACAAATGGTGTTTCTCTAAATCGCTTTTTCACTTTTCCCAGGAATGCGACGACATAAGCGATGAGTTAAACTGCAGCAGCACAACTCATTTCTACTGTAATGACGAAGGCTCAACGTTGTTCGTCCCTATCGATCAGGTTAGAATTCAGCGTTTCCCAACCTTTTTTTTGTCGCGGACTATTTTTTCACCGGCGAAAACTTTTGCGGACTCAAGGTGCATTTATTTCATCCGTACTCTGTGTGAAGAAGCAATAAAATCAAACACAAAAGAATTTTAACGAATTTCAACAATGGCTTTTTTTGTCGCACAATATTCAATCCATGACAACGACTAGAATTTAAAATGTCTTTCTATTTTAATTTAATTGTATTCATGGTAACTCGCGGTTGTGATGACTTTACGACAAGATGAAAGCATTACTTTTTAAAATGCCACGGCAATCTGCGAACATAATAATGGGAGAATATATTGCCCGATTATATTTAGTTTTGATAAATATTTTTTGCGATCTTGCGAATTTGTTATCGCCGTTAGAAAAATCCTACTATCTTCTATAAATTTCCAGAAAGTACAACTTAATTTAGTACTTATTAAAAATATATTTAAAGTATATTAGTAAATCAAAAATACATATTCATCGCCTTGTTTCATTATTAATTTAATTGTGATCATTTTAATCTGCGGTTGTGTCGACGAAATAAAAGCAATACATAGGTTTCAGTTCCTTTACACGCCTCGATGTAAAGTAGGTAAACAAAAATTATTACCTCATATTGGTACAAACACTTCTGGAGCGCCACACGATCTATATATGCATTTCGTGTACAATAACATTAAAAAAAAGGTCATTTAAATACTTATAAATTCTTCTTATATGCTTTTTATTTTTGACCAAAACTTTTTCTTCCAGGTTTGTGACGGACGGTTTAGATTTGTAAGAGGGAGGCGACGAATGCCGGAATTGTAATCCAAGTCCTTTCTCCGCATGATAAGAAATTAATCAGTCTAGAGTTTTGATCGTTTTTTTTATGGATAATCGGTAAGATTCATATGTGGCTGCCAAGGTCGCTGAGGTCAGGTTCAAATTCAGATATTTATTTTCGTCATGCAAACCAACGGTATGAAATAATAAAAGGCATATAACAAATTACCCGAAACGGATTGGCTTGTTGCAGTTGACGAGGAGTCGCAAAAGACTCAAAAAGGCATCCAGTCAACGAACACCTTGTAGCTGAATTGAAGCAACAAGTATAGCAGCGGTACAACTCAATATTAAACATTTACTTAATTCGACACTGTCATATAAAAAAGGGACAACAAAAAGAATACGAAATAAACTACGAAAGCCACATGACTATCAATATTACCTAATATTTAACTTAATTAGACTCAATCATACTAAAAGTACAACAAAGTTTCAAAATAAACTACGAGCTGCCCACAATGACTATGGCGTATCAGTGGCGCAACAGCAGAGTCGGGCAGAAAAAATTACAAAACCGTCTAAAAACTACGTGATTTTAAAAACAGGTCCCGCAGTTCGAGCTTTAATCTAATAACAATTTGATTTTACTTGACCTTTTGAACTCTGAAAAACTTTGACAACAAAAACTTCGGCGCGATATTTGAATATGTTATCAGGGCTGTCGATAAACCGGTGAAAATATACTTGAGACCCCTAACTGCGAGCCATTTAAAAACGAGTAAGAAATAAATGATCAAAAGTACGTGTTATAAAAGATAACGTGATACCGATTCTAGACATAAGAACACCACTACCACAACTTAACACTGTAAACAGTAGAATGACACGCAAACAACAGGGTATGCACCACGACAGAACTAGGGTAATCAAGAGTATATATATTGTTTTTCTAATATTTACACTGTAAAGAAACACTAACACCACAATAGGAAAGTGAGGAATTTATATAAAAAGGTTGGAAACCACTGATTTAGAGTCTTTTCTTATCAGTTCAAATATTCCAGGTACTCTCTCGGTTGTTGGAAACACGAGTGTCATCATTTACCAGATAATATGTCTCGTTCGACCATCTGGGAATCAGTCGCCAGTGGCTACAAGTAACAGAATGCTTGTTCTCAATCTTTCTGCTTCTGATTTGCTTGTTGGAGTGAGTATGACTCATTTTTTATTGTTCTAGAATAAAATTATCTTGGTAAAAAGAAGAAATGCTTAAAAATGGGCACGAAAGTCGCACCTTGGAATAAGCGTTTCCCGTCGTTCAACCAAATTTAAATTTAATGCAATAAAATTCCAGCTATTTTCCCGGAGTCGCAAACAAGTTTAATGACGTCAAAATTTTACCTTAACAATGACGTCATATTTTTTTTTCAAATTATTGACGTCAGATTGAACTTCAATGAAGACTTTTAAAACCTGTTTTTTTCATGGACGCGCAATGGACAAGATTAATGACATCCAAATTTCGTATCTTGACAATGACGTCATATTTTTTTTTAAATTATGACGTCAGATTGTACTTCAATGGAGACTTTAAACGAGTTACATAAACAGACCATTGCAACAACCCTCAAATTCTCGTTTTTTTATAGATTTATCTCGTTGGGCTCGGAGTGAAAGATGCGACGGTGTCAGAATATTGTCTACTAGATCAAGAATGGCGATGTAGTGTGACGTGCACAGCACTTGGCTCTCTCGCACTGATTGGAACTGAGACATCGGTGTTTATTCTGCTCATTATGACGGCTTATAGACTGTATCTTGTTGTAAGGTAAGGAGATTCAGATTTTTATTTTCATCATGCAAAACCAATACACGTTGAGAAACAAGAGAATAATGCTCAAATATATGGACACGAGGGCCAAAACGAAGTAGTACAAAATGCTTTACAGCATGGATAGTCTGACCACCAGATCCCTTAGATGTGATCACAGAACCGTGTCACTGTGCGCATTTTTTTTATGACATCATTACACAAAACTTCGAAGGGAAAAACGAATCTCATATAGCCCACAGATACTTTCAAAATAAATAACAGTATATTTTTTAGCGGTGATAACAAGCTTTACCCACTCAAAATTTCAAAGCAATTGGTCTCGTAAAGAGTACGTAAAGAAAAAAGCTATTTTTTTTATTACAACAATAACAATACGATCCATGTCCAAGAAAAAATAAAATACACGTAACAAACTTAAAAATGGAAAATGAATTTCAATTCCGACTCCGGAAAATTCAATAAATTGACACCGGAAATTTAAAAATACGAATCCTGTTCCAACTAAAGAAAAACATGGCAATCTTCGACTCGACAACCCCGAAATTTACATGCTTAATGGAGAAACCTTGTTTGATTCATTTCATTGTGTTTTATCACTCAGGCCTTTCAAAGCTCAAAAGCTTCTGATCATCGGTATATCTATCGCTCTGGGCCTGGACAATTTCCACTTGCCCTGGCGTTCGCACCTTTGGCTTCAAGCGCTCAGGATTATTTTGTCTCCTGTGTCTGGTGAGTAGAAATAGTGGTGTTTTTAAAGAATAAAGATATGACTTTAAGTGATTCAACAGCTTACCGCTGACAAGTTGACCGGAGGGTAATTTCCTGGCAAAAAGTGAATATTTGCAAATAATTCGTGATCTCTCCCGCTCTCCTTTTATTGCACCTTTCCTGAAGGGCTAATAAAAACGATTTGATTGATTCGCTGATTGCTGCACACTGACACAAATATATTTCTATAACGTTTAGTCCAACCAAAGATAGACATGCATAATTCAACTGTGCGTGCAGTTGTTATCACAGAAACACTTTCGTTAAAAAATAAAAAGACTTTTTGATATTTCATAGAAATGAAATAATCTCCTGGGTTAGAATGATATATATCTGAATTTGTGAGAACTATTTTGTGCTAATATTCGTCAATACATTTTTACTTCGATTTTTCACAATAATTTGCTCAAAGCAAGGTCACGCGCCACTTTCTCCGGAAATGAAAAAGAGATCACTCAGTAAAGTTACGGGAAACGGATCTCCAGAAGTTTGTGCACCAGAATAGCGCAAAACCTGAACATAGTATGTGTACCAGTTTGAGATTCAGGTTGTTCGCCATCTTCGTGCGCATACTTCGGAAGCGACCGGGAAACAACTTAATAGCAAAGAGCTACTAAAATCATATAGAATTTGGTCTTCAATATTACGTGACAGTAAATATCGAATGTTTACTTGTCTCCTTACCGTATAACTATTACTCTAACCTTTTCACTATATTTGACGAAACGCGATTTCATATGGTTTTGTTCAGGTGTCTTTGCTTCCAAAAAATGATTAAATGCCAACTTCAGATATTTATCAGTGACAAACGCGAACCAACTTCCTTTACATTTCTTTGTTCCGGAAGTAAAATTTTTCAAGTGAAATTAATTTCGACCCAAAAACTTCATAGCACACAAAATGAATAGTTTTCGACGCTAATTTAGTTACATAAATAATGGGGTTCGATTAGTATTTGATACGATGCCGAATTGATATAAGAACATTTTCAGAGGGTGAATAAGAGTAAGTTTCCTGGGGATTTCCCTATGGATTGGTAAGACCAACTTTAAAATTCTCTCATGTAAATCTAAGGTATTTTGAGAACTGACTTCATAATAAAATTGGGCGCTCCAGAAGTATGGGTACCAATATGAAGGTAACTAATTTTGTTTGCCTACTTTACACCCAGTTATGTGAAGGGACTCAATCCTATGTGCAGGGTTTATTCACCCGGCTAACACAGACAATCCCCGAACTCGAAAGAGAACTAAAAAAGGGAAATCGGAATAAAACTAAGGCCGAACCCTAACCCGGTACACACAATTTACATGACATGACTTTATGAACATTCTGTATATATTTTAAACAGAATTAACTTGTATCACATCACACAAACAAACTTCTTTACTTCCAGGTTTCGAAATCACCAATTTATGGGAAAAGTCTGTCGCAAGGATTTGCAGAAATATACTCAGGATCTTGTTCTATACGAAGGGAACAGTACCGTCTTCAGTAACATTGTCGAGTAAGTTACAGAAAATATATTGCTCAAAATGTTTAAATCACGGTCACGTGATGCCATGTGAGAGTTGTAAACAAGCATGTTCGAGTGTTATCTGCAAATTTCTTGTCTTTCGTGTTCATGGCGGATTTTTATTGAGTTTCTCTCAAAATGAATTTCTACCTACGTGATACTTTTACTGTTATGTATTTTCTACAGCTAAGACTTATTCAATCATCATAATGTTATCGGTAGTGTACGCATTTTATAATTTCCGAAGTTTAGTATAATATTGGTTCTATACTCTATAGTAAAAAATCTTATATTGTTGATATGAAACTCCCTCTTATTTTCGTGACCTGTTATAAACTATATCATATTCTCTGATGCTAAAATTTCTTGTTTACCGTTTGAATATACCTTTTCAAGCGCTTAAATTCTGCTGGGACTAACTATATATCATTTTCCATGCCTTTTCGCCACTGGATCCGTATGCGCATAATGCAAAGATACTGTAGCAAGACTGAAGATAAATATTCAAGTTACCACTCTAACATACATATATTTCTGTAATGTTTTGTCTGACGAAGATCAGACTTCCCCAAACATACACGCAATTTCAAATTCTGCTGTAAAAAGACTGATATGCCACGTGTGATCATGAATTGTCCTTCTTATCTTTCAGAACCGGATATACTTGGGAGAACATGTTTACAGCCATGAAGCAGCTCAATTCATCCTATGTTCCTGAACGATACTTCGGTTACTATTCCGCACATAGTGTCTGTCTTCCTCGGCTTTTCCCCGATCCACAAACAGACAAAGTTTGGGGATATTCTCTCTTTTTGATTCTGATCAACTTCTTTGCATTCGTTTTTATCTTAGTCAGCTATATTTACATTTACAGGTGAGTAAATTGGTAACTGAAATAATATTTGATAGAATTGAAATTTAACTATTTGTGGAATAGATTCGCCAGTAAACTATTTACTGGTAAACGCTACCAAAACCACATGGCCACAGGCGTTAAAATCGGCTTGATGCGTAGGCGTGAAAACAATATCTAAAGTACAGTGGTGGCATGTGACTACCAGTGATATTTGTCAGTTCAGTCAACTTAAAGAAAGAAAAAATATACCTATAAAAAAATAAGTTTTGCTCTGACTTTGAGAGGATTTTATGTGAATGCACTACCACTAATTTTTCCACTCTTCGCTTAGATCACGATCTTGATTTAAGAAAATGTAATTACAAATACCCTGACAATCTCTTAGTTTTTCTTATATGGATTATTTTACGGCTGCTAATGCCTTTTTTCGGTCACGTATCAAAAAACTAGTTTATGATATGCGACGTATATATGATGCCCTTCAATGTTAATATTCATACCCTCTTGCTATACCCTGGAACACGCAATACAGGCAATACGATATTATCTTGGGACAGAGGGTGTAATTAAAATTGTTTCAAGGCGGTTGATTCTAAGTAAGTTAACGCGCAGTGACACAGAAAAGATAAAATCCCCACTTAAATCGCAGAAGATACCGAAATTACATAGATCTATGGCGGGGCATTACGCTCCAGCAAAGGCCGTTGTAGAAGCACTTCGAATCAATACTATTAGGGAAAATCTACGCCACATCGCACTACCTTTAACAATTGATACAGACATGAAAAGTCCAGGCACGAGTAAACTTAATCTTTTAAATCTTTATAAATGACCTATAATTGATAGATTTCTTTGTTTTGTAGATAACTTTCTGCAGTCCAAAGCTCAGAATTATTTCAATCATTGTTTTTTTATTCCAGAACCACGACAAGTGGCAACATCAAGAAATCTAAATCGGAAGATCGAGCTCAGGCTCTTCAGAGGAAAGTTACTCGGATTGTTCTGACAGATTTCTGTTGCTGGATGCCGATTTGTATCATGGCCTTCATCAGGGTTTCAGGTGAATATCTCAATTATTATTATATCGTTATGCAATTTGACTGAGAAATACTGCAAACATGGCCGGATTTAGACGACGCTATTTGTAAGCCCCCCTCTTCGACAATGACGAAATAAGACCGATGGAATCCATTATGACGACATATCAGTCTTTTATGTTTGTTAAATAGATGGCGAAGGAATTAATAATTACCCTGAATAAAAGTTAAACACGAATCAGTTACAAATTTTATATCGTTTTTTTTTGTTCTGGAACACGCCTTTAAATTTTGAAAACGACTCAAAAATGGATATGAGTTTAAAATTGAATGTTACAATAAGAAAATCGTATTCGTATGCTTTAGGCTTGCACGTAATTGACAAAAATCAATTCCGTAATTACGGCCAAATCGATTACGTAATGACCCCGTAATTGCGATATTTTTTTCACACATTTAAACCTATCATAACAACAAATTTAATCCACTTCTATTCCGAATGGGACATCGAAGTTTGGTTTTCATATTCCCGGCAGTACTACACGCCGGCGACAGATGTTAAAGACAAATATCAAGGAGTGAATTCAAAATAATTTTATTCTGATTTTTATCTTTTGTATTAGCTTTGATTTTTTTTATCCACTTTATCACCAAATTTTATGCGATCAATTTTATCATTACCAACACTGGTAATATATTTAAGAAACGATAGTTCACTTTTTTAAAATCGTATTAACGTATTAATAAGACTTTCGTATTAAATAAAAATTCCGGGTTACTAATTTATTAATCAACTACAAGCGTATTCTCTCGTTTGATTATACTTTCGCTTGCCTCGCGACGAAGACTTGTTATTTCCCCGTTTTTTACAATATCCGACTTTACTACTTAGTTAGCATTTTATAATAATTATTGATGCCGACTTATTGACGATATTCCGAATTCCATGCTTCATTTTACATTAAATCATTTCGCGGCCTTAAAGTTTTAACATTATTTGCGATAAATTTAGATCAAATATTAATTATTTGCGCATTATTTAAAATACCGTACTTATATGACATGCCTTCTCCGAAAATACAAAGTTATATTGCAAAACAATGCATTTTGTGACATTTATTTTGCACTCATGAAAATATTAATTTATTTTTCTAACTCAAGTCGACAATCCTATTTGCCAAGATTGACACAAGTTTGGTCGAGTGCCGGTGGTATTCGAGTCGACGATAAATCAAAATAAGTTGCCGCATTTGGTAAAGACAGATAATCATATTTGGCCGACATATTGCGAGGCATTGTGAAAAACATATTGAGCAATGCCAAGTCCGGACAGATATATAACGATAAAATCGGTAACAGAACATCAAGATTTTGTAATAGAAAATGGATCTCGCGCAGAATAAACACGGGAAATCCCGTCGTATTGTTGTTTCTCTGCCGTCTCAATCGCTTTACCGATGCCGAAAAGACTAAGTTGCGTTGGTTCATTGCGAAATTTCTCTTCAGTCTTTATATTGCTGTTTGATAAGCGCGACATTGATTATCACGGCATTTACAAATAGACCATGTTTTATTAGTTGATCTCTTACATTCTCTAGTCATTTCACCCGAAGAAGTTGAAACCAGGTGTGTTGACGTCCATCGGTCTCAACACAATTTTATTCCTTATCTACGGTTAATATGTACATTGGCCATCCTATTTAGGTTGATAATAGTTAATGACGCGTTATGCCTTCCCCATCTGCCTAACAAGAGAGAGAAAAACGGCTGCGAATACCGGAATTATTTAATTTAAACTTTAATTTTATACAATGGACGGAATTGACTGCTCTGAAGAGAGCTCGTTTCAATCGCGAAAGCGCTCGACCAATAATTACGACTTTACGTAATTCGTAACTTCGCTTCCGTAACTCGAAATAATTCCGTAATTCCGTAAATCCGTAAATTACGTGCAAACCTAGTATGCTTGCATGTGGGCGGAAAAAAAGTTGATTAAAATAACCTTTAGGGCTAAAAAACAAGAATAGAAACGTTTATTCCTAATTATGCAATATCAGAATGTCTATATGTCGGCCCAAAAGCAATCGGTGGCAGGAGGCCAATAAATGGAGATAGGAACAATATAATTATCCTCTGTTTGCATAACATCCCAATAGCTCTCAACTTACGGAGCCTATCAATGGCGATATACCTATTCATATTTCTAACTCAAGACAACAAAACTATAAAATTATTTCTCTTTGTAATCAAAATTTTCAGCTTTGTCAAAGCTTTCCATAATCGGGGTAATTGTTCTCTTATTAAGCAATTTTGCTTTAATATTCATCCTCATAATATTCATTCTAACTCCAGGCATCCAGGTACCAGATGAAGCTTATGCTGTGACTGCAATTATTCTCCTACCGATCAACAGCGCAATGAATCCGTTTCTCTATTCCGACATTTTGGATATAGTTTGGGAAAGATTGCTTCCAGTCAGGTAATTATATTGTCGTTTTAAGTTATAGAATCCTGCTGGTTCAAACCCAAAGCACGAAAACAAGAGTAAGCCAGGCCAACCGGAAAGATTCCGGACATCAATAAGAAGTTTTTGCTGACGTATTAGTGAATGCAGGCAGCCTCGTTTGGAGTGAAATTGTAGAAATGTAATTGTCAAATTGAAGTGTCAAATTGTCATTTTTGTAATGTAATTAATCCATTTTGCAATGATTCCCAACTTAATTCAGCGTTCTCAGACGAAAGAAATTTAGGGGAGAAAATATGGGAATATTACTTCGTGTTCCATTTAGCTTTACTACCGTTTTGTTTAATTATTTAGTATTATTGTGTTACATATTCATGGACGCAACATAAATTATTAATACCATGCAAAATCCAAAGAGTGAACCAGCTGAGGATCTTAGAAGTTCGAACAAACAACAGAAACGGAGTTTTTATGCTTTGTGAGGGAGAAATAAAGTGACTCAAACTAGCCAAAGGGAGAAATATGCAAAAAGTTTTGGAACCACTTATCATGATTTTAAACAATAATTATTATTGGGAGAACCTGTTGGCCGGGTTGGGCATAGCCGCTGGACATGGTCAAATGATCTAGCACCAAACATCCGCGCTAAGACGGATGCCGCCATAACCTATCTAGAATAAACCTATCAAGTTCTGTAAGATGGTAAATTTATTCGGCCGTGCCAACAATTTGGCCTACAATTGATGCCAATCTTTTTAAAACAGGAAAATTGAATTTTGCAAATTACCTTTTTTGTTTTTTCAAAGGAATTGGTTCAACAGCACAAAATGTGGCCAAAAATTGAAGAAAATACAGAACAAAAGACAGAAACAGAAAAATAAATCAACTCTGGGAGCGAACTCATCATGTAAGTAAAGTATTTGCTTATTATATAGTGCATTGCATTATTGTTAATGAAGAAATTACAAATTGGCGCGTTAGCGAAATGTTAAGAACACGTTTGTTCTCCAACCCACTTTATATACCCGCTGTCCAATTGCGGTTCCCAACCTGACTATAGTTTCTGTCATATGACCATGTCACCGTATTTACTCACTCTTTCTGGGTGGATAAATGGTACTCCCGTAGTATGTGCAACAGGATGGCGGACACCGGATCGTAGTATGCGTACCAGGTTAGGGTTAAGCCATAAATTCAGGTACAGATACTACGGGAGTCTCCCTCCCTCCCCCCCTTCAAAATGCAGATTTTTGTTTATTCAGGGACACTGTTTTTTTTTTTATAAATATTAGTAAAATTCTTTTGAGATTTCGCTGATATTACCATTTGATTTTTGTGGTCGTATATTTAAGCATTTTCCTATGTTATTGATACCCGATTGATTTCAGATAAAACTTTGCAACTGAATGGTTTTTTATCAGTCGAAGTTCTCGTTCACAACGAAGCTTTTGATAGTTTGTAAGAAAGGTAATAGATGTGCGTGTGTGATCATATCACGTCATACTTCAAAAAGTATTCACTGTCTTACGTAAATTAACTTCAAACCTCGCTGAAGTCGAATATAACAGCTCTTGTGAAAGACCTCATTTGACCCCATTTCCAAATATCGTTGACTAGTTGGCTTGTCACGTCTTTCGCAACCCCTCTTCAACTGCAAATAGCCGATATCCGTTTTTGTAATTTGTTACATGTATTTTGTTTATTTATACATTTTTTATATCTCATATTTGTTTTTCACGACGAATAAATATCTGATTCCCATCTGAGCTGTACATAATTGTTGTACACACAATCTTCTGGCTTTGCGTCTTGATGTTCTTAACTGTTTCATTGGTCTGTTTTTAGCTGATCATTTCACATCAATGTATTTGATTCATTCAACATGAAATGCCGTGTTTTGTTTTTATCATCTTATATTGTCAGTTTTATTACAAACGCATATTATAGTTTTAGCAAGGACATATTCCAGTTTGGATGGCGCACTTGTTAAATAAAGTGCGGGCTTCCTAATAATCTAACAATTTCTTGTGATTCTTACTAATACATCCACGCAGGATTTACATCGCTTATTATTTTTATTGGTGCAAAGTCGGCTTTTTTACTGCGTTGTCACATTTTAATCCACATACAACACGGGTGCAGATCATTGGCGCAGGAGCTAAAAGCAATGCTGGGCGAAAGCCTCTGTTTGCGCGACTCGCGAGTCAATCATTGAGTTTAATCTCATTGAAGGTTAGATAATAACAGGACCTTCCATTCAGAATTTAGATAACTCGAGTCAGTTCTAGTCTTTGATAAATGGTTGAGTCAATAACTTTTTTGGCACTGTTGTGGAGCACCCTATTGGGTAATTTACTATTGTCCCGGAAAAAGAGAATATCTGTTTTATGCCCGGTTTCTAAAGGGAGTTTGTCAGTACATACACCCCATAAAAACATCAGCAAACTATTTTCTATATGACAGGTGATACAAAGTCAACGGCATTAGGATCGGGACAACTCCCACAGCACACCCATTATTGTGAGTTTACATCTCGTATATAAATTGTTTATTCGAATCATATAGATACAGTATAATTCAACCATTTTTTCGGTGCTCCAGAAGTATGCGCACCAAGATGTCACACAACCTGAAAGCTAACCGGTACACACCTACTATGTTCAGGTTGTGCGCCATCTTGGTGCTCATGCTTGTGTAATTCCATTTTTTCTCGATATGGTACCGACACACATCCCTTCTTTCTGAATTAATGGTTGCAGCAAAAGAATTTGAAAAGTTGCTAAGATGTTTTATTTTTTTTTTACTTGAATAAAAAGTAAAATAAATATCTTACTGGCTTAGAAGTGTGAAGCATGGTTTTCTCTATCATCGAGTTAGAATAGAATTTATATATTTATCCCGGGAAAGGAAAGCCGATACGACGGCTTAATCATATATTGATCCATATTTATCCATCCCTCTCGTCCAGATACCAAGCCGACTAGCGGTTAGGTGAACCACCCTGTGGCAGCGAGGAGTCCAGCAATTCTCTCGCACATAGTTATCCTCGCATAGGATTCAAACCTGCAAAACCCACGCAGGTACTCAGAGGTGGAAAGCGTACTCCTAACGCCGCCACACTGCCAAGCCACAGTACTTTATTAATAACAAAAGAAATTAGCAAAAAAATAAAAACGATACAAAAAACACCGCCCGATCCAGAACGCAGCAGTATCAACAATTAATTTTAAGAGTCTCCTATAATAACACAAATTTACGGAATTTATTTGTATCTGGTATTTTATTTGCAGCAAATGTTTCACCAGAGCTGAAATCAGGAAACGGAAGAGAGAAACAAGATCGAGTTTACTGTGAGTATTATTGTGGCATGGAGTGTGAATAGACTTCATACGTATAGCTTCTATGATAACAGCTAACATTTTCTAAGTAAACATACTTTATTGGGCGCTCTCGTAGTATGTGAACCAAAATGGCGGACACCGGCACGTAGTATGTGTACCAGGTTAGGGTTAGGATAATTTTATTCCAATTTTTCTTATTTCAATTCTATTACGATTTCGGGGACTAGCTAAGTGACTCCCTTAGTATTTGTACCCGAAATTATGGCCTAACCCTAACCTGGTACACATACTACGTTCCGGTGTCCGCCATCTTGGTTCATATACTGTTGGAGTACTCTTTAACGAAATACTAAATCCTAAAAACGGTTTCTCTTTTGTATCGAACTCACAAACAGATTCCCTCATTTCATAAAATGTATGAATGTCACTACCATGGCGGGGCATTTCGAATAGAATATTAGAATCGAATCGAATAGTTGATTATTCAAATCGGTTCAGACGATAATTTCGAATCGCCGCCATCTTGTATCGAAGTAAAATCCTCAATTTTTTTGTGAAGTCATATTTTCAAAAGAAAATCCTGACATATGAGTCTTATCTTCCTAGTGAGTTATTGATGAAATATGGTTCTTATTGTGTGTGAAAACTCATGGAATTGTCTGAGTAATAGATTAAATGTTTTCAGTAATTCAGTATAAGCTTGGATGACCCATCATAATGAAAAAGTCACGTACAATTAGACATTTTCCAAGTATTCGAGATTCGATTCGATTCTGAAATCATTAGGTCTTCAAAAATGCTCAGCCGAAGACTCACTACGTAAGCTGCATCAACATGACACGTTTAACATGAATCTATTACATACCTTTCATAAACGACAAATATGACGCCAGCAGTCAGCATAGGCGTAGGTATGATAAAGGGTGGGCTGAGGGTCCATGCCACCTCCTCCCAAAAAAAATTCAGCATTTTTTTAATTCAATTTTGCGGCATTTGCAGTAAGGCATGAATTCATACGCCTCCTGCAACATCATTTTTCTCTATGCTTAAACGATTTACTGATAACCAGACGTTTCTGACTACGACCTAGGCAGTCATCTATGATACACGTTACCCAAAGAACAGGTTTGTTCATTATCACAAAATTTCAAAAACGGCGCCGCCCGAACCTGTTGCATCCCAACGCTGGTCTTATCACATATTTCTAATAAATCGAATAATTCAATTAAACTGATCAACCGGCGAATTGCCGTCGTTGGGTGACTTCCTCCAGCATAACACTTCATGCATAGGAAATAATGTACTGCTTAACTTTTCTCGAGCCCAACCTTTCCATTATCACCTTTCCTTATCACCTTTCTTCTCTATAGAAAAACAACGATTAATGCTACTCTAACTGTTAGTTAGTCACAGTAAGGTAATTCATAGTAAAACTAGATAACCAGTGATTTTTCACCTCTGGTATTTTTTGGCAGCTCGTGAAAGTTTTTACTTTGTGGAAGCCAGTGTCACGTTCACTTGGTATTATTTAGCAGCCTTTATTATTTGTGTACACTCGTGTTTATTTTACAACGCCATGTTGTGTCCACCTACTACATTTGACAGCTTCCATTACGTGTCCAGTCAAACATCTTACTTGATAAATTATAGTGGAATTGGTGCAACTAATTTGCCAAGATCATTCCCGGATAGACGAAAAGCCCAAAAGAAATGACGAAATCTTATTGGAACTACAATCAGGTCCATAAGGGTGTTTGAAATGTGTAGAGCACGGGTGTGCAACAGATGGCCCGCGTGCTACAACCTAGCCAGCAAAGCCGTTTAGTGTGGCCCTGAGTCAACACTGAGATTTTTCCTACCAAGCATGAAATCCTAATCTGATAGTTTATGTATGAAAGACGCTCACATGGATAAAAATACATAATGTTTTTTACTCTTGTCGCGGCGCTCTAGAAGTGTGTTTACCTATATGGAGATAACTAATTTTGTTCGCCTACTTTACATCAAGTTGTGTAAAGCGACTGAAACCTATGGGCAGAGGGTATATTTACTTGACTAACACAGACAGTCCCCTAACTCGTAATAGAACTAAAATATGAAAAATTGGAATAAAATTATGGGCTAACTATAATCTGATACACACACCACGGGAGTACCCTTGTCGCTACGTTTAAATCTTTTAATGCTACATTTATTACTGTAAGGCGAAGCAATATCAAGTTTGCCTCCCTCCTCCGCTAACTTTTTGTGTAGCCCAGCTAGATGTCTGAAGTTGGTTAAATGGCCCACCGACAAAAATGTTGCACACCGCTGGTGTATGGCTTGTAGCTGAAAAAGTGATTTTAATAGCCACGAGGTAGGCTGTATTGATGTACGTTTGCGTGAATACCTTATGCAAGAACTGCCGATATGAGAGAGGGAGAGATCTATTGATTAAAGCATTCTTGATGATATGTTATAGGTTTTTATGAAGAGCCCATATACATTCACTTTGAACATAGATGCGCTTGTGAACAAGCACTGAAATAGGCAGTAAAAATGGCCGCTGGCTTATGGTTTTGAAATGACCGGTTTGGCATTGCTGAATCAGTTCTATTTGAGCATGAGGTTTTCTAGCAAAAGACACCAAGTCGATAGAAAATGCATGGTTGCCAGTTTAAGGTGCATTTAGAACTGGATGGATGTGCAAAATTGCATTGGGTGTTGACTTAATATTTTCACTTTTGTTCTGAAATTAACTGCCTTGATTTTTCTTTTTCCTAATTCACAACCCATTTTTATGGTTTCGAGTTATTTGTATATGAATTCATGATTAACCTATAATATACTGACAATGATTCTCATTAAAATATTTTCACGAAATTGCCCAAAATCATCTGATCAAGCAAATTTACGAGTCATCAATAGAATGTTATCACGTACTTCACCGATTGCGAAATATAAATGCGATCTTACGTTTTTTATTTATGAATTCAATATTTATTTTACGAAATTGCGTGAAATTATCTGAACAGACGAATTCAGTAAATTTTCATACAAGCCTTGTCGAGTAATTTTCAAACTGTTCAACATTCGTGTGAATTTACGTTATTTATTAATAAAGTCATAATTAAGCTTGAACAAATTTTACTTGACACTCGTGAGAGTATTTTCACGAAATTGCGTAAAATAATCTACACAATTTTTTTTTTATACAGCAAGTAATTCAAGAATTGATTCCACATGCGTGTGTTTCACGTTGGATTTTTCATTTATTCTCCATAGATCTCGTAACATTTCCAAAATCCACGTTTATCTATTCTTTTCTTTATTTAATATCGCATGATAAATTCATCATTTGACATGAAAATCACAATTTTCATGAAATATTTTCACGTAATGGCGTGTGAAATTACGTGAATTTGTGATATATTTTGATCGAATTCGTTTTATTTTCTTATGAATTCGTCACATAACCTTTCGGTGACCAGCGTATTTAGGTTAATTCTTTTTTCCAAGATCGTTTTAGTTTGAAAGGATATAGAGGAAAAATATTATATAAAAGTATTATTTTAAGTATCCAAACTTCCTGCAATTTTATTCTGGTGTGTGGTGTGCGGATTGGGCGCACGTATCCAAACTCCGAGTGAATAACTCTAAGTTTTGTATCTTTCAATTTGTAATAACTTGGAGTTGATCCTGGTAGTACGCTAATTAGACTCTCAGAAAAGTATTATTTTGTTTTAATACCGTTATACACTATTTTTGTTTTCTTCTATTTTGATTAATGGGCACTCCTTTTCCTCGAGGCAACAGTTATATCTATATCCTTGCTAAGATGACAAAAGATTTTAAGCCGAGTTTATATACCGCCAACCTAAAGCTGCGCATCACGTTCAGTCCAATAGTATTTACGGAAAACCGGTATGGGGTAGTTTTATCTTTTGAGAAATGTGCTATGAATCTTCAAACAACTAAAAAGTGCATCATAACGTTACATTTTTTATTTTAACACGCCAGGTTTTAGTATTAGGACTCCACGATTTGTAAATTTTATTCCAATCCCTTATAGTAGTCATAATTACCCTCGCTGCTATAAACTTTCGATTTAGTTCGAAAACAATAACGAAAACAAAAATTACTTTTCATAGATGAAGTACAGAATGATGACACACAGAATGGAAATTCAGTGCAAATTGAAAACGACACGCAGTTATGAAAGACAAGTGAACTAAAACGAAAAAGCATTCCTGATCCCGATTGCCTTCGCTGACTGATCACAAACATCGTTATTCAAACAATTTCTGCTACAAGACGATGAGAACTGTATGGTCAAGACATCAAACCTAAATATGATGCTGCTCATTGTATCAGATCTGGAGTTCAAATCCCATAGCCATCAATCCAGGTTCCAACCCGGGTGTATTAAATTTTGGAAAGTTTCTGAGCTGTCCATGAACATGGTTGGTACCTACTTATCGGCGACTTCAGAGTGGAAACGCCTTTCAAATTTGCTATTTTCAATCGAAAATAATCGACCATTTTAATGCAGTAATTTCCAATGTCTAACTGTCTGCTCCTACAGAGTAGAAGCGTGAAATGATTTTTTGTCTCTACTAAAAAACTCCCGTAGTGTGTGTACCCGGTTAGGGTTGGACAATAATTTTATTGCAATTATCCTTATTTTAGCTCTATTTCGAGTTCGGGGACTGTCTGTGTTAGCCAAGTCAATATACCTCTTGCTCATGGGTTTTAGTCACTTTAAACAACTTGATTTAAAGTAGGAGAACAAAATTAGTTATTTCCATATTGGCACACACATTTCTGGAGCGCCAAAACTTTGATATCCTAAGTTTTTGAGTATATTTAAAATTTGGGTGCGATGGCTTGGGCTAGGGACGTTGGATTTAACGAGTTTGTGGATTCGGGTTTTTAACCCATGATCTCTAACTTGTTGAACTTGAGGGACTTAATTTTTTAATAATTTTCAAAATTCTGAAAATAAATTCAATCATGCTTTACCAAATCTAATTTTCAATAATTTCATATTGTTTTCACTTTTTCTTATTTTACTATTACATGGTGCTTCTAACATTGTAAAATTCAGCAATTTAACTAATTTCATTATTATCCCTGTTTGTCGTAGAAAGGTGACAGCCCCCCTCCTCTCCATCCATCCTCCCAAATATTAATAAAAAGAAAAACAATTCAGGTCATATTCTAGAGTTTCATTCACAAGAAATTACCACTCTGTAGCACTATCAATCTAAGTTTTGATAGTGATAGTACTAATGATTGTAGTACCTAAAAGTTAGGATGCTTTTCACAAAAGTTATACTCTCTCTAGAACACCGATTCTGAACATGTGGGTCACGGCCCGCTGCTGGGCCACCAAAGAATTTTGAGGTGGGCCAGAGAACTATTGAAAAACGGCTTGTTTTATTTGTGTCATCATCGTTAATTTTGATTGTAGTAGCTGTCACCTTTCAATCATTAGTACTACAATCAAAATTAACGATGATGACACAAATAACACAAGCCGTTTTTCAATAGTTCTCTGGCCCACCTCAAAATTCTTTGGTGGCCCAGCAGCGGGCCGTGACCAACATGTTGAGAACCGGTGTTCTAGAAAGAGCATAACTTTTGTGAAAAGCATCCTAACTTTTAAATACTATCATATACATACAGAAGTTCAAGTGTTGAATGAAGTTATTTTATTTATGTAAAAGTAATTGATTTTTACAATTCAAATTATGTGTAAAATTTTGTTTGTTTTCCGCTTCATTTTGATAGTCTTGTGGGTGCTCTAGAAGTATGCGCACCGAGATGTCGCACAACCTGAATCATAACCGGTTAGCCACGTACTATGTTCAGGTTGTGCGCCATCTTGGTGCGCATACTTCTGGAGGTCCGACTTGTGAATGCCACAAGATAGTTAAAAAATTTATGCGTTTCTTTTTTTCGTCACTCTTTATGTTTTTAACTGGGTTAACAAGACCTTCAAATTATTCAATTGTATGTTGCTTGCTATCTCTATATACATACCTATTAGTTTTATGAATTAATGTTCATTTCACTGCCATATTATTTTTACCAATACAACTTTGCATGATTACAACACGTGAATTTACTGCAACGTTTCCCGAACGTAGAATTATTCCCCAAGGAGGCATTTTGCGTTCTTGTGGAGGAATTTTGCTTTGTATTTGCTGTAGTAATACTGATATTATTCATTTTTTCTAATATTTCCATAATACCTATTTATACACATATCATGGATTACTTAAACTGTACGAAAGCGCAAGTGCGACTTGCACATAACACCAAGAATTCATTGAACACTGAACAAATAAGTAGTTTCCAATTCCAACCAAAGGGGGGATGAGCTAACAGAACGACCTAATGGATGTGTACAATCTATATTCGGCCAAACATGGGTCACCAATACATCAGCTATTTGAATTTTTACTGGGTAGAAGGCGTACGATCGCGGTCGAAAACAGGTTGGCCACCCCTGATGTAGGCTATAGCCTGAGATAGAGTAGGAAGAAATAAAGATAAAATACAAAGGAACTCCACTCACTCAATTAGAAATATATACAATAGAATAGTTCACTTCATTTAGTAAATTTGTTCCATAAGATAATTGACTTCTAGGGACTTCTAGTATATGAATGGTTCACATGAATTCAAATAAAACAGTAATATTTTCAGTGTAGATTCGTGCCTGGAAAGACTAAGTAAAAAAATAATGTGATAGCCTTCTAGAGACTTCCTCAAAATAGAAAGGTTACCATATACGAGTGTTCCCAAATTAAAACAAAACGAAAGAAATTTGAAAAATCGAAATAACATCTTTCTTGAAATTATTTCCAAAACAAGAAAGTCCCGAATGACCTAAAAAAAAAAAATCAAAATATCAATGTAATAAAACTTTGGAGGGAATATTACTCTCTGTGGGACTCACAAAAGGTTTAAAAGTCTATCTGAGTTCATTAAATGCAAAAAAAACAAAAGTAAATCACTCAAATTACGAAAATAATTAAAAGGAAGACAAAATACGATACAAAAATTTAATCCACTCAATAACAAATCCCATATGACATATAAAAGGGCTCCCATGATTTTGCGTAAAACTCTGAAATTGGAGTAAAAACTCTGGGTCTTAAGACAAAATATAAGAAATAAAGGTAGCCTGCTGGATGCATCTCCCGTATGGCATAAAAAGTGTTTCCATGAATAAATCCAGAACAGTAGTATTTGATATCCACCTTTGAATAAAAATAAAACAGTAAAACCGTAGGTCTAGCAAAATAAAAGTAATAGCCCTTTGTCATATAATAGTTATCCCATACGTCATATAGAGACGTTCCCATGTATTAATATGAACAGCAGGTTGGGTGAAAAATTGCGCCTCGTAGGACTCAAAAACTAGTTACAATAAAAATAATCGAACCTCCTGAAGTATGCGCGCCAAGATGGCGCACAACCTGAAACTAGGTTATGTACCAGGTTAGGGTTGAAGTTGTGCGACATCTTGGTGCGCAAGTAGTACTAAATAATCGCCATCCAGCGACCTATTCCTCCTTAAAATCAGTTGTTGCAAATGAAAAAATCGGCGAAAAATAAAAAATATAGAAATTAGGAATATAGAACTTCAATAAGAGCAAACGATTCTACATATTATCAAGCTTGAACATTGGGTAATTATTTAAAAAGTGATAATTATTATATGTCTTTAGTCATTCTCCAGTCTTTGTTTAAATAAATTAAATGAACTCACGTAGTTAGGTTGGAAATAAAATATTATTGAAGAAACAACGATTGCATAAACAAAATCTGCGGCAAATAAAAAAATTAGGAAGATGAAACTCAGTTATATAAAACAAATATCTTATTTACATTTATTTTTCAGAACAACGGTATTTGAAGAAGTTTTCTCAAAATGCTGACGTCGTTTAGCTAGCGCGAAAAATGTTTGGAAATACTTTACAGGCAATTTTACATCCTAAAATAATTTTATATTGAAGCAATTCTTGCAAAACGTCTTATGCAGGAAACGACTACTTATTGAAAACAATAAAATAAATTGAAGCAGTTCTTGCAAAACTCATTATGCAGGAAACGACTAGCTAACAATTGTGCTGGAAGTAGAAATTCCTAGAACGTTTTCTACAAAATTGTTAGCAACCCCTCGAGGACGGGGCATAGCCATCAATATTCAACTGGTGTTTCTGGACTATATACTAATTTGCGTGAACCTCCATTGAATATTGTGAAAAAAAAACAAGAATGAAAACGTTGAGCCTATTAAGTTTACGCGTGTATATTCAAAAATCCAAATTTAAAACTGCTTCCATATTTTCTGATTTAAAACAAATAGGTAAGCCGTTATCGCCTTGATTATTCATGGAGTTTTACTCAAATGGCGACTTCTTATGACCTAATATAATGACTACCATGATATCAAGCCACGGCATTCCACCTCAGAATAGAAATTGCCTGACAGACTTGACCGGGTATTCACCAATATTAACGTGTTAGTAAAGCCTCAACTTTTCCGTGAAAATCAGTAGGGCCTTCGCTAAACATTGTCAAATTCGAAGGATAATTTCGACATTAATCGAAAAATCATGCTACAGTGTGGCGGGTCTTCAATACATTATGTCAGACACATCCAATGGAATTGGATATGTTGGACAGCTTCACAAATGGGAATCTTGGATTTCATTTTATTAGGGTATTTTTAGCATACTTATGATATTGTTTTTAATTTCTGCTAATTATACACAATCTGTGTATTTGTGTGTAGTTCTCGATTCGATATAAAAGCAACCCGAGCAAGCAATTAGAAATGTATTCTGAGCTCCCGCATTTGAGCAAGCCTGATCTAACCCATAATCAATTTATGATGAATCAGGGTTCCATGGCGTCATGCCGACACTGTGATATCATGGAAACGTTAAGAAAATCCCTATGTCCCAATGCACGCAATGACTTCTTCGTTTATTTGTTTCATTTAAATAAACTCACAAAATTTATTTTAACTAGGCTAATATTGAAGAAACAGCGATCTCATAAAAAATATATTAGGCAAATAAAATATTGAGAATTAGAAATATAAAACTTCAATATGAGCAAACGTTTCTACATATTATCAAGCTTGAACATTGGGTAATCATTCAAAAAGTACTGATTAATACGCGTCTTTAGTTATATAAAACAAATATCTTATTCAATTTTATATTTCAAAGCAATGGTATTTGAACTTTTGAAGCAATTTTCGCAAAATTCTGACATGCGTTTAGCTAGCGCGAACAATGATTGGAAATACTTTGCATTTTATATAAAATAATCATAAATTGAAGCAGTTCTTGCAAAACGTCTTATGCAGGAAAGTAGGAAACGACTATCTAGTGAGAAAAATTGTGTTGAATGTAGAAATCCCTAGAACGTTTTCTACAAAGGGTTCCATGGCATCATGCCAGCACTGCCACATCATGGGAACGTTAACAAAAACTCTATGTCCCAATGCACGCGATGCCATCTCTCTTCATTTATTTATTTTAATTCAATGACTTCACGGAATTATTCCGAACTAAAATAATAATAAAGATACAACGATCGCATAATAGAAATGCATGTTGCAGTTCGAGGGTTCAAATGTCATGGGGGCAAACGTCCTTGATGCAAATGTTCGAGGATGCAAATATCTATGGGTACAAATGTTCATGGGTGCAAATGTTCAAATTTAGATGGGTGCAAATGTCTGCGGGTCTAGGCAGGGGCGTGCCAAACTTTTCTGCTGCCTGGTGCGAGTTTTTGATAATGCTGCTCCTTATACCTAACCTCGAAAATAATTCGGGGGATAAACAGATTATAGATGTCATTATACATAAGAATAAATGAATTAAAGGTCAAGTAAGATAGAAACTTTCGTTTTATTAAATAAATATTTAAACTAGACAACAAACTTACATGTATAAGATCGAACTCATTCATTAACAAAAAGCAAGTCACTTATTTCTATGTCCAATCGCTACTTTTCTGGTAACAAATGTCTGCACGACAGCCTCTTTCACCTTGCTCTTCAGGAATTTATTTTCGATGCTAATCAAAGACA